TCCACCAAAATCTGTTCTCCCATTCTTTCTTGGCACATGGCTGCATGACATTTCCCAGTCTTGCTGGCAGGCAGGTGTGGCCATATGACTAAGTTCTTGCCAGTGAAAGTGGGCAGAAGCATGCATGCCGCTGCAGGGGCTAGGCCTCCGGGCCATGGGTGCGCCTCCTCCCCGCTCCCTCTCCCTTCCCACTGGCTGGGACCAGTGGTGACCCAGCTTCAAGCATGCAGATGAGAAGCTTACTCCCGAGGGAGAAGCAACAGGATCCGAGAGAACTGTGTCCCTGAATGACCATTTGGAGTACAGCTGCCCCACTGACCTAGACAGCTCACTTCAGAAAGGTTAACTCCCCCCAGAGCTGTTAGGTGACAAAGAATCAAGTTCTTTGTTCTTGAAGCCACTGCATGGTTGAATCCCTTTGCTACAGCAGGCTTAGCCTTTACCCTTACTAACACAACCATGCAGCTTCCTTTGTGTATACTCAGAATAGCATTACAAATGACTGGTGAGCCATCATTTCAGAAAACAGCCCTAACTGCCCAAGTAGGTGATAATCAAACAATGAAGTTCCTGCCTGTGGCTACTATCCCAAGATTTCCTCATCCTGGCTAAAGGGTATTTAACGACTGAAACAGATTATTTATGTAGAGACCCATTTAGCTTTTATGCATCCATGCAATTAATATTCATAAATATTTGACTGTTTCTAGGCACTGGGGACAGAAACAGGCCATTGCATTCATAAAAACCAATGTGTGTGTGTACATGGTGGTTTTTTGTTTTAAACGTTGTGCTGTGCAATTTGTTTTCAGTGGAAAAACCCTACGTAGAATGTGGAACTGAGGAGCAATATACAAATAATTACCAAGTCACAAAGGCTCAAACTATACCCCTGGACTACAGATGAGCTATGCTCTTGCTTAGCCCTAAAGATCAAGCATAACGTTCTAAGAATCCAACTCTTTTCGATGTGTTTTTTTTTTTAAGAGTTTTTTTTTGTTTTGTTTTTTGTTTTTTTTGACCGGCAGAGTGGACAGTGAGAGGGAGAGACAGAGAGAAAGGTCTTCCTTTGCCATTGGTTCACCCTCCAATGGCCGCCACACCGCGCTGATCCAATGGCAGGAGCCAGGTACTCATCTTGGTCTCCCATGGGGTGCAGGGCCCAAGGACTTGGGCCATCCTCCACTGCACTCTCTGGCCACAGCAGAGAGCTGGCCTGGAAGAGGGGCAACTGGGACAGAATCTGGCGCCCCGACCGGGACTAGAACCCGGTGTGCTGGCGCCACTAGGCGGAGGATTAGCCTAGTGAGCCGCAGCACCGGCTTTCAATGTTTCTTACAATGGTCTGATCTGTATGTCTAATATGTAACCAAGATTTTTACTGACAGAGGCAGATAGACCTCATAGCTTGCTGAGTGTTGGAATTCATTAGATTAATTCCCAAGGCCATTTAGACGGCACTGCTGGTGACAGAACAGAGACTCCGGCTACCTGGACTGCAGGGCCTCGCCTGTCCGGGGATTAGCTAAAGCCGGATGCTGCAAGACAGCACTCCTCATCCTCACTCCAGGATGGGCCAATAGCCCAGCGCTGCTCCGCTGTCACTCCCAGATCTCAAATAAGACTGGAGTGAGATTTAGTAGTTGAGAGGTGACCTGAGGTTTGTCCTGATTTTGTCAAACTTGCTCTGACTTGGAATCATGTTTTTGGGCCTGTTTCCCCATCTGCACAAGAAGGGGCTGGCGACTCTCTTCTCGACAAGGCAGAACTAGTTTCCCTCTCTATACTTAACAGCAAAGTTCCTGAGGGCAGGAGGCAAGGAGCAGGAGGTGTACCCCAGGCAACACTCCCACCAGGGCAACGGGCAGGTTTCCAGTGAGTACTCTGCCTGCCACAGGCTCTTTGATGCTGTGAAGGAATCCCACCTTGCTGGATCTGATTTCTAAAAAACAGGAGCAGTGGACTCGCCCACAGTGCCTTGAACTTAGCAAGCACTTCAAAGATATCAGGTACTTTGATTGTGTGTGTGTGTGTGTGTGTGTGTGTATCAATCATGCTTTCCAATTGTCTTAGACTGCAATGATTCTTATGAGAAGCTACTGCTCCAGGTACTTCAGATAGAAGGAATAGACTTTCTGAGGTAGGGTTGCTGCAACTAGTTTTTCCTGCTTGTCCACTGAAATTTCTATATTTAGCAATTTGGGTGAAGAACATCTCCAAGCCCAAGGCCCCTCACTAAAAAGATCCAGCTCAACACAGCACTGAACAGCTCGAGTCTCCAGCCCTCGCCTCACCTCCAGCTCTGCCACTCCTGGCTGGAGGGCCTTGCTCTCCCAGTTGGGTAACTCAATGGAACAGCATCTCCCCCCAGGGCTGTGTGACAAAGTGCCTGACAATGCTGGGCTCATAGCAAATACACATCTCCACTCCTAGCGGGGAAATGTAGCTTTCCACCGTTAGCTCTTAGGGAATAAACTCACTGCGAAAATTATATCACATAGAAAACAAAATGCAGTAGATACAAAGATGATTTCTTCTTTGATCAGAACATAAATTGGGGCCGGCACTATGGCATAGCAGGTAAAGCCACCACCTGCAGTGCTGGCATCCCATATGGGCACCGGTTCAAGTCTGGCTGCTCCACTTCCAATCCAGCTCTCTGCTATGGCCTGGGAAAGCAGATGGCCCAAATCCTGAGGCCTCTGCACCCATGTGGGAATACCCGGAGGAAGCTCCTGGATCTTGGCTTCGGACTGGTGCAGCTCTGGCCATTGCAGCCAACTGGGGAATGAACCAATGCATGGAAGACCTCTCTGCCTCTCCTCTCTCTGTGTTAACTCTGATTTTCAAATAAATAAATAAATCTTTAAAAAAAAAACCATAAATTTATTTTTGAGTCAAATCAGTCAAAGTGGGGGATGAAGCTCTGTAATTCCATAGCTTTAAAAAGTCAATCAAGAGGCCGGCACTGTGGCGTAACAGGTTAAAGCCCTGTTCTGCAGTGCTGGCATCCCATATGGGTGCTGATTCAAGTCCTGGCTGCTCCACTTCTGATCCAGCTCTCTGCTACTGCCTGGAAAAGCAGTGGAAGATGGCCCAAGTTCGGGGCTCTTGCACCCGCGTGGAAGACCTGGAGGAAGCTCCTGGCTCCTGACTTTGGATCAGCCCAGCTCCAGCCATTGCAGCCATCTGGGGAGTGAAACAGCGGATGGAAGACCTCTCTCTTTCTGCCTCTGCCTCTCTGTAACTCTGCCTTTCAAATAAATAAATCTTAAAAAAAAAAAAAAAAAGTCAATCAAGTTATAGTTCTTTCTCTCGGCCTCCTCTGTGTCATTTTGTATGTACACGGGAACACCTGAGAATTGCTTTTTAAGGTCCAACAGAAATGTTCTTTCTTCCATGATCCCTCCCTCTCCCCTCTAAACTAAAAATTTACACAGCTCTTTAAAATAACATTCTGCCTGGCTTTTTAAAAGCTGGCAATGTTGTGGTGGTACGGCCTATTAGGCTGCCACCTGATGCCGGCATCCCATATGGGAACTGGTTCAAGTGCTCTACTTCCGATCCAGCTCTGGCTAAGTCCACCTGGGAAAGCAATGAAAATGGCCCAAACACTTGGGCTCCTGCTCCATGTGTGGAGACCCAGATGCAATTCCAGGTTCCTGGCTTCAGCTTGGCCCAGCCCTGCTGTTGTGGTCATCTGGGGGGTGAGTCAGTGGATGGAAGCTCTTTCTCTAACTCTGCCTTTCAAATAAATACTTTTAAAAATTATTAATTTCCTTTATTTATTATTTAAAAGGCAGTGAGAGTCAGAGATAGAGACAGAGATCTTCCACCTACTGGTTCTCTACCCTAACACCCAAAACAGCCAGGACTGAGCCAGACCAATACTAGGATGCTAGAACTCCATCTGGGTCTCCCATTTGAGTGTCAAGGAACCAAGTACATGCGCCATCACCTATGGCCTCCAACAATGAGCATTAGCAGGAAGCTAATGAGCATTAGCAGGACTTCCCAGGAAGTCCTGGGAAGACCCAGGACTCAAACCAGGCACTCTGATATGGAATGTGGCTATCCCATCCCAAACAGCTCTTTAACTGCTGCACCAAATGTCTGCCCCCATGCAAATTTTATGACCTTCAGTATTCTACCATCTAGACTGGTTGTTTGTGTATACATAAGTCTACTTTGCAAGTCCCTGAAAACAAGTTGCACAGCTCATGCATCTCTGTTTTTTTGTTTTTAAAGATTTATTCATTTATTTATTTCAAAGGCAGAGATATGGAAAGAATCTTCCACCTGCTGGTTCACTCCCCAAATGGCTGCAACAGATTGGGCTGGGCCAGCCCCAAGCCAGGAGCCAGGAGCTTCCATTGGGTCTTCCATGCAGGTGCAGAGGCCCAAGCATTTGGGCCATCTTCTACTGCTTTCCCAGGCCATAGCAGAGAGCTGGATTGAAGTGGAGCAGCCAGGACTCGAACTGCTGCCCATAAGAGATGTCAGCATTGCAGGCAGCAGCCTAACCTACTATACCACAGAGCCAGCCCTTCTAGCCTGTATCCACTAGCCTAGTCCAGTAGATTCTGAATAAAAAATCTGAGTGGGAAATTATTACATAATGAGCACTGAGTTTCTGTTTTCAGTGATGAAAAGGTTTTGAAAATAACAGTGATGACTTACAGTGTTGTGAATGTATCAATGCTGTGAATTACAAGTGCAAAATGTTTAATTTCATGTTACATATAAATAAATATTTATATAATATTGCTGGCAGCTCCGGTCATTCCAGAAAGAGGATTTCAACTAGAAATAACAAATCTACAAAAAGAGTCTGTCTGGATGTTTTCTAGGAATACAAATGCTCAGCAAACACCTGCTACACAAGTGAAGACAGCATGATCTATGAAGGTCAAATCTGTTGAAAAGTTACCACGTTAATAAAAGCATATTGTATATAAACGATATGTGAACATACCTATCTTTTTAAGCATCAAAAAGGCTCCTGCAGACTTTTTCTTTATTTAACTTTCAGCAAGAATATGGATTTATAACTCAATAGAGAGACACCAGTGATAGTGTCTTACCACAAAGGAGCAGCTCAACACATTTCAAAGTCTTTAGATTTCAAGTTCCATGTCCCACACCTTGATCTGATCCTTGCTCTCAGGAATTCCAAGAACTATCTGTGTTCACTTGATCACTTCACAGGGGCTGGTTCTTTCCTGCAATTCACTCAGATCCAGACCTCCTGATTTGCAGCTCACAATACTTCAGTCATCTACAAAAGCATCTGGACATGAGATATTTTTAGCTGGCGTCCGGAACAAAAAAACTTCTTTTAAGGGATATAGTGAATGCTGGTATTCACTATTTAAGAGATTCACAAGTATAAAAATGTACAATCTGTGCCTTTCTTTAAACCTATAAGGTTCAAAGGAAAAAAAAAATCCCTCTGGAAATACGTCACTGCCAGACACATCAGCCACACAAGGAGCTCACGAGGTCTGCCACTCCCATTTCAGAGAACAGTTCACAGCCACAACACTAAATGAAATAAAATGGCGGGGGCTTTGTGCATAGCACTCCTCAGCCCAGAATAGGAGAGAAGGCCCCGCCCTCCTGAATGGGGTCTCCACCACCTTTACCAAGGTTACTGAATATGTCTCTTATGTGCTGCATATCAGCTCTGCATCATTCTGCCCTGGGCACCCCTTCTCTTTAAGTTCTCTGTCACAATCAGGGGAGATACTCTGACTTTCTCTGGTGTTGACAGCATTTGATTCCAACCTTCTTTTTTTCTTCAGTTGATGCAAGTGGGATTTGGATTTTATATGAGCTGATAAGACAAAAAAAAAAAAATCAAGTCAATCAAATAAAATTAGGATTTTCTAGGATTAATTCTAAAAATAAACACAATTAACTACACAATCCTTTTCTTTAACAATAAATAACTGTGTCAACAGGCACACCGGTATGGCTGTTTGGTTTATTACAATAGTTAGCTAGCAAACTAGAGTAAGCGACCATGTTTCAAGTGCGCCCTGCTACCTGCCTCATCTCCTTTACACTTCTCCAGGTTTAGAGAGGTCTTACACCTTGTGTCCAGCGTCCCACAGCAGGTGTACTTGTTTGGTTAGATCTTCAGCTCCTTGGAAAGAGATCCCACTTTCCAGAATCAGGTCTCTATAGTGCAGGGCTTCCTGTTTCAGATGCATTTCAAATTCTTGTGTGTACTGCAGGACAGATGCCATGTTGTACCTCACATTGCAGTACCCAGTCCTACAAATGCCAGGAATATGACTGCCTGTTCCACTTCTTCCCTGATCTCACGGGTGGTCCTGCCTCACCACCCCCCCAACCTGTGTCAGATTAGCCATTTGAAGGACTGACCCACAAGGCTCCCAATCTCCCTACATGCTGCCCCAGTCAGTCAGGTGCAATAAAGCTGAAAGGCCACTGCTGTCTGATAGCAAGTGTCTGCCTCTCACCCCAAGGCGGTCCCCCTCCCCGTCTAACTCATATAGGCGATCTCATCTGGGAATACCTAAAGAAATAGATGACTAGACTAAATTCTCTTTTACTCATATTTAAAGGATCATTTTTAAGGGGCTAGAAGCAAGAATAAGTAAGGAAAAGGTTAGAAGTCAAAGAAAAGTTTACTTGGGAGAAAAATCGGCTTTGTTCTCCAGCTAGCGCCTAAGGCAGAAACGGAGCTCTGGCCCGGCTCTCCCTGGCAGCAGGCGAGGGGAGCGAGGACTGGACAGATGGCACTATAGAAGGGCTCACACAGGCAGCGCGTACAACGGCTCACACATGCTGCTGCTCTGAGCTCTCCCTGAAGGACATTCGACAAATCGAACCACTAAGTTTCCTTTAGAAAAAACAATCAAACACTCTCTTTCTCTTCCCCTTTCATCATTATAAACCAGCGACAATCGAGGCTTCTTCTGCTGGCTGGGCAATCACAGCCGTCCCCAGTCTGACAATGGAGTTCATTTTGCCTGGGTTACCAGTTAGTAGACCTAATCATTCCATTGGCTGTACTTCTCTGAGAATTCCATGCAATGCAGAACTCTGAACAGAAGGATTCCAGCCACTGCGTAAACTATAAACCCTACTGTGCCTAAAATGAGTGAATCTCACACATGTTTCTAAATATGATGTAAATTCAAGGCTTGGGGAAGAAACCCTTTGGGACTTGATTGGGTGACGACAGAAATCTGACGGTGGAGTACAATGCAGCTATGGCAGAAGCTGAGCACAGGCCTGGGCCTGGAGTGGCACCACTCTGTCCACATATATGTCTGACAGGCTGCTCTCACAGTTTGCTTTAACAGCCTTCCATCACAGTTGGTGCAACTCCCACCATTTCAACCTAGTACTTGAAAAATCACAAGAAGATAATACTTTTGAAGGCCGTACCGAGAAGGAGTAACTGCACGTCCTGCTCCCTCCCAGCTATGCTTCGGCTTCTCTGGGATGAACTGCCTGGTTTTCCTCAAAAGCCTCACTCACCCCCACTGAGTGAAAACATGAAAGGTCAAGAAACTCCTCCAAGGCAAGATCACGAAGTCAACGGAGCTCTAGAAAGTCAACAGTATAAAAAATTCTCAGTATAAAACTTGTATTCTAGCTGAAGCTAGAGGGCATACGATCTTCCTTCGAATTTCAGAATAGAGACGACTCCCCAACGATTTGGGAAAGCCTCCGAGGAATTTAAGCACAGACTCTTAGAATAATCTGGCTGTCCCTTTGTAAGTAAGCAGACTGCAGAATTCAGTCTTTCAAAGATCTTAAATTTCAGGAAGTCAATGTGACATCTGCACGGCTTTCCTCATGCCCTTCCTCATACGCTACCTGCCCATTCGCGGTCCCCAATGATAATGCGATCACAGCAGTCACACATATGATAGCTCCTCTTGTTCTCATTTTCATCGTAGGGCATCTTTATTGGAGTGGCTGCAGGCTTGTGGCCCTAAAAGAACAAGGAGGGTGGGGAGGTATCTGAGTGAACAAATTTTAAGTATAACTTTCTGATATTAAGGGGAGTGGGATTCAAGATTCCTTTTTCTCATCCAACAGAACAGGTGAGTTGTGAACAGATTTTAAGAACAACCTTTTTAAATGTAAAAGCAGAAATACAGCCGTTATGGATCTAAAAGCAGCCAGCCCTTCTGCCTTATTCTATGGAAAATAAGGCTTGCTTCCCCAACATAGCAATAAAGGTGTCAGCTAAGGAAAGTGCTCTGAAAATCAGACAACAGACGGTATGATAATTAATAATCACCTGGATGAAACTTTGCACTATTTCAAGAGCAGGTTCCAGAACAGACTCTTCCCACTTGGAGACGTCAGATACCTCTAAGCCATACACTGGTGGGACACTAGGACCAGGTCCTAATGATGACAAAGAAAAGTTGTGAGAGGTCAGCTTACAAAACCCAACCTATTCTCCTCTCAGGACTCCAAAAATCCTCAAGGGAAACACACAGTGTCCAAGGAATAAACATTCAGACCATGCTATTCATTCTAATGACAAACATGAACCACAATCCAAGAAAGACCTAAAAAGCAGCCAGTAAATCCAACTGTAAAATCCAGAAACTCAAATGCAGCATCTTCCAGATCAGTCAGGAAGCCAGAATAGAGCAACAACAACTCAGGTGACAACTGTGTGGGCTAACACATAAAGATGACACATCTGAGCCCTGAGGCCAGGGCTGTGGTGTGGAAGATTAAATCTCAGCTTATAGTGCTGGCATTCCACATGGGTGCCGGTTTGAGTCCCAGCTGCTCCACTTCTGATCCAACTCCCTGCTAATAGCCTGGGAAAGCAGTGGAAGAAGACCCAACTGCTTGGGCCCCTGTACCCATGTGGGAGACTCAGATGAAGCTCCTGGCTCCTGGCTTTGGCCTGGCTCAGCCCTAGCCATTGTGACCATTTGGGGAATGAACCAGCAGCTGGAAGACTCTCTCTCTCCCTCCTTTCTTTCTCTGCCTTTCAAATAAATAAATCTTAAAAAAAAAAAAAAAAAAAAGATAACACATCACAAGAGGAAAAACACTAACATTTTTAGATAGGTGCCCATTCTTAGTTCTACCTTATAGTAAGGTCACTCTGTGGCCAGAGAGCTCACAGCTTTCTTTAGGAACAGACTAGTCTCAGGCTTGCATCCCTAATCTGAAAATCCAAAACCCAGAATGCTATGAGAGCTGAAATGCTCCAAAATCTGAAACAATCTGAGCACTGATGTGATACCACAAGTGGAAAATTTTACAACTGACCGCATGCAATAGGTCATAGTTAAAATGCAGGTGCAGGGGCTGGCACTGTGGCACAGTATACTTGGCTGCCACCTGTGACATCAGCATCCCAAATAAGTGCTGAGTTCCACTTCGAAACCAGCTCCCTGCTAATGCACTTGGGAAAGCAGAAAAAGATGGCCCAAGTGCTTGGCCCACTATCACCCAGGTGGGAGACATGGCTATGAGAAGTTCCTGGCTCATGGCTTTGGCCTGGCTCAGCCTGGACATTTGAAAAGTGAATCAGCAGAGCATGGTCTTTCTTTTCTCTCTTTATCTCTCCCTTCCTCTCTTTGTAACGCTGTCTTTCAAATAAATAAAATGCAGGTACATGGAAATATTATATAAAACTAGCTTCATGCTATATGTGCAAGATTAAGTATATAAAACACAAATGAATTTCATGTTTAGACTTGGGCCCCATCCCTAAGATATCTCATTACGTACACACAAATAACCCAAGATCCAAAAAACTCCAAAATGGCAAAAATTTCTGATCTGAAGCATTACAGATAAGAGACATTCAGTGTGTATCCCTTTAGTTATCCTAGCATTCATGATACTCCTTGGCAGCATGCCAAAAAAATCATGGGCTGGGATCAACATACCAAATTGCTGCTTGAATCCAAGAACTAAAAAGCCTTGGAGATGATCAAGCTGAAGCACTTCTTTTAAGAACTAGATCTCTGGGCTGGCATTGTAGCATAGCAGATTAAGCCTCCACCTACAGTGCCAGCACCCCATTAGGGTATAGGTTCAAGGCCCTGCTGCTCCACTTCCAATCCAGCCTCCTGCTAGTGTGCCTGGGAAAGCAGCAGAGAATGGCCCAAGTGCTTGGGCCCCTGTTTGCACACGGGAGATTTGGATGAAGCTCCTGGCTTCAGCCTGGCCCAGCCCTGGCCATAGCAGCCATTTGGTGAGTGAACCAACAGATGAAAGATTTTCTCTCTGTCTGTCTCTCCTTATCTCTCTGGAAGTCTGCCTTTCAAATAAGAAATAAATAAATCTTTAAAAAAAAAAAAACCTCAATCTAGAGGAGTATTCAAGAAGCACCCTGTGGTAAACACTTTGGAATGGAAACGAGCCTGGAGGTAGCAGAACACTTCACCTTCTCAACCAACAACACTGCAAGAGCTCAGTCCCTTCGGGTAGCTGACCCAGCCTACAAACACACTCCATCCCCTTCATGGCTAGGTTAAGTCAGTTGCCTAAAGGCAAAGAGCATCGCCCATGGACAAAACATCAAAGGCATCAGGATGCCAACGGCTGGCAGGTGCTGGCCTTTTGATTGTGCCAACCACAAATAAGATTCTTCATAGACTGGACTGGGCTGCACCTGCCACCACAAGGAAAGGTGAGACTAGGAGAGTGCAGGCGGCACCCACAGCACACCTGGCCTTGGCTAAGCTCTGCACCTGTTTCCAGGCCACTCTACATTTTCCTTTCTCCTCTAAGCCCTTTGTTGGGCTTCTGTGCCCTGTCTAAGCACCTTTCAACAAGTTCTCGGCTCCCAGCTGCTATTTCTGGCTCAGGTCCAAGGCCAAGCTGGGGTGGGGAAGTCCCTCTGGCTCCTTGCCAGAACCATATCCCAGCAGATCGGCGCTGGCCAATCACATGCAGTTCCTGATTTACAGGGCAGCTGTGCCTTTCACTGTAGTACCAGGACTGTGCCGGCAGACACCCGAGGAATAGGCATATGACACTGTGCCCCCACCCCACCCCAGCTCAGACATGGGGGAGTTACTGTGGTTTGACCACAGTAGGAACTTCCAAATTATTACAAAAAAAGTCTTTTGTTATAGACTTTTTGTCAGACTTGGGAAGAAGAGAAGATGCATTAGAAATCTGTAGTATTGAACTTCAGCTGCTACTCAGACTTCTAACAGGACATGCCGGGAAAAGAGGGCTTTGAAGAAAAAAAACATAAAGAGACTCTTGGCACCAGAATCCCAGTAGAGAGCTGACACGGGGGAGTTGGAGACAACTAGCACAGCCATGAGTGGTGGCACCACAGATCAGGGTGAAAGGAGGCAGTGAGGAGGGGGGTAGGCTTCAGTTGGCCCTATCTGTAACCGAAAGCAGAAGTCTACTGGAAAAAAGGTAAATATGGGATGATCCAGAGGTAGACTTACAAAATAGCCACAAGATAAAATTGGAATTTCATTTAAATTCATCTTTCAGCTCATAACCAAACAATTTCTTATCCAATGCAAATACTAATTATGTTTAGCTGACATAGATATGGAAACAGGAAGAGCAGTATAAAGCAAAGAGTATGGACTTTGGGGCCAGCCTTTTTTCACTCTCTAATGCCTAGTAACTGGGATTTAGAAGTTAGTTAACTTATGTAGGCCTTCACTTTCTTATTTAAAATAACACCTACCTTGAAGGTTAAATAAAAAGTCTATATAGCACCAAATTCAGTGCCAAAGACACAGCACATAGTCAGTGAATTCCACTCCCTTAACTAAACTTTCAGTTAAAGCAAACTCAAACACCATGTATCTGGAGATGCTGGGAAAAGTGGTAAAGGTTTGTTTTTTTATATTCCTCATCTCATCTAAAACCATGATAATTAAGAAAGCGCACTGACAGAAACCTGACTCCTCTTCAGGTACAAAATGAAAGTTCCAGGGGCCAGCATGGTGGTGCAGCAGGTTAAGCCACCTGTGATGCTGGCATCACATACTGAAGCCCCAGTTCAAGTCCCAGCTGTTCCACTTCTGATCCAGTTCCCTGTTAATGGGCCTGGGAAGGCAGTGGATGACAGCCAAAGGACTTGCACCCTTGCCAATCATATAGGAGACCAAGATAGATAAGAGTTCAGCCCTGGCTGTGGCAGTCATCTGGGGCATGAACCAGAGGACAGACAATCTATGTGTCTGTCTATCTTCCTTTCTGTCCCTCTGCCTTTCAAATAAATAAATAAATCTGTAAAAAAAAAAAAAAAAAAAACTGGCGTTCCAGTCAGCCTGAAACACTGCTCTGCTAAGATACTGACTGTTGTGTCACTCTTAACTTGTCTGCGGCCAGTCCCCATCTGGTCAAGAAGTAAAACAGACTCAATGGAAACTTGATTTTTTTTTTTTTACCTAAGATATGAAAAGAAAATATCTTTTTCTTTCTTTCTCTTTTTTTTTTTTTTTTTTTTTTTTTTGACAGGCAGAGTGGAACAGTGAGAGAGAGAGACAGAGAGAGTCTCTTTTGCTGTGGTCACCTCATGCGCTGCGGCTGGGGCGCTGCGCCTGGCGCACCACACTGATCCGATGGCAGGAGCCAGGTACTTATCCTGGTCTCCCATGGGGTGCAGGGCCCAAGCACTTGGGCCATCCTCCACTACACTCCCTGGCCACAGAGAGCTGGCCTGGAAGAGGGGCAACCGGGACAGTAGCTTTCCAGATGCTATGCAGGAGATACACATGTTGCTTTTCCCCTTGTGATGTTTGTGTGTGTGTTCTTAGGGGATGGCTTGATCAAGTTCATGGAAAATGGAATTACTGGATAAGTTTCCTTAATGAAAAAATAAATTTGAACTGCGTGTATAGTTTTTTCATAGTACATACTTTCCATGAACTTTTTGAGTACCCCATTGTACACAGAGATTTTCATTTTTAAATCCATTTTCCTTGAACTTTTTGAAGCCTCTCATGTTTAACTCTATAGTTTTATATATGTCTGTGTGTATCACACAATACATGGAGTGGGGGGCTGGCGTTGTGGTGTAGTAGGTAAAGCCGCTGCCTGCAGCACTGGCATCCCATATGGGCGCCAGTTCAAGACCCAGCTGCTCCACTTCCAATCCAGCTCTCTGCTATGGCCTGGGAAAGTAGTGGAGGATGGCCCAAGTCCTTAGGCCCCTGCACCCATGTGGGAGACCCGGAAGAAGCTCCTGGCTCCTGGCCTTGGATCGGCGCAGCTCCAGCCTTTGTGGCAAATTGGGGAGTGAACCAGTAGATGGAAGACCTCTCTCTCTGTCTCTGCCTCTCCTCTCTATATAACTCTGACTTTCAAATAAATAAATAATTTTTTTTTTAAAAGAAAACAAATCTGGGGGTAGGAAAAAAATGAGACTTACTGCTCAAAAAGCGGTTTTTAATCCATCGGTTTTGCTTCCGAGCATATCTCTTAGTTACTTGTTTCAGAGCCTCAATACCTGAAAGATATGGCGGATAAAAGAACATCCAGGTAATCACTTCTGACCCTGCAAGAGGCAGCCCCACCCCGCCCAGGAGAAAAAGTCAGTACACTTAGACATGCTGGATCAAAGTCTCAATTCTGAGCAGAGGGCTACTTGGAACTCTTCCAGCCTCAGTACTTTCTCAGACCATACCAGCAAGGTATTCTGTCACCCCAGGATGTCCAAGACTAGGAGGAATTCACACCTTTCTTTAGAAGCTGGTTACTAGTCTCTGGTGTGCATTTTCCCTCAGTGATCAGGTACTCGTGAAACTCCTTGAAGCCAATTGACTGGAAGATACCATGTTGATAGTCCTGGCTGGGAACAGGAGAGCATCAACGGATGAGCCATTGCTTCTGAAAGCTAGCAGGGGCCTGGAGATGATCTAGCTGAGCCATTTCATTTCAGAGATGAGAGAACTAAGATCCTGAGCAGTTACTGACTCTGAAATTCTCCTCTACCCTCCCCGCCAGGTCCCAGGTTACTTCCTCAAAAAGTAACTCCTCAGGAATGTCTGAAAGATTAGAAAACTGCAACTGTAATAAGTATACCAAACCTCCTTCCACCAAGGCACATAAATAAGTAGATGTGAAGCCAACCACAGGCAAGGGATGGAGAGCAGGTCAGGGTAGCAGCCAAATCCTCACCTATCTTCTGAAACATTCTTCTGATTATAGCGTCTGTGAAAATCTCTTAGTTCCTCCAACAGTCCAGCAGCAAGCATGTCGTCCACCCTCTTATCCAAGCGCTCATCTAGAACTTGAATCAAATTAGTTCATCAACCAACAAGTTGTGGGTGCCTGCTATATATTTCATGGTGAATGAACAGCCTGCCAAAAAGCAAATTTGTTCAAATGGAAGAAAATATTTGGACTTCAAAGATTACATAATTCATATTAAATTTACACACATTAAGACTGAAACTCCAAATAAAAATAGCCAGAATGAAGCACATACATAAGAAAGAGAGCTTACAATTACAGCTACTATGAAGGACAAATAGTTTATTCTTGCATAGAATATATGTTTCAGAGGTGGCTGAGAGTCCCTTGATCTACCTCTCTACTTTTTTCATTATATTTGTTACTTTAACTTTGTGTAATTTTCTACCTAAGAACTTCTTCCTCGGACAAGAATAAGGAATTTTAATTTAAAGCCATCCTAGTTGTATTTTCAACTATAGAACTCGACAAAACAGCAAAGAGTAATAAGAGGTCGGGGCAGGGGTTTAATGCAGCATTTAAGTCACAGCTTAGAATGCCACTATCTGACATCAGAGTGCCTGGTGAGTCCCAGATTCTCCAACCTCCTGCTAGTGTGCACCCTGGGGGACAACATATGAGGGTTCAAGTACTTATGTCCTTACCACTCATATAGGAGGCCTAGACTGTATTGGGGGCTCCTGACTTCCGCCTGGTTTACCCAGGCTGTTGTGGGCATTTGGAGAGTAAACCAGTAAATGGAAGATCTCTGTCTGTAGTAAGAGGTCATAACTGCTTAGATGGGGTGGTCAAACAGAACTTCATTATGATTCAGTTACCCCGATGAATTGTGTAAGTTTCACTTAACAAAACTTAATTACTGAAAAATTTTTCCACAAACAGAATAATTTGGGAAAAAAAGTCAATTATGCTATTCTACATCTCTATCATCTCTATGTCTTAGTCTGCAATGATAGTAAACTCTTTCTTCCTATCTTCCCAAACTGCTTGCATTTATTGACTACTTACCATGCACTGGGTATATTCTGAGTATCCCATATGTATCAACTCATCTAATCCTCAATTATACCAGGAGATATATATAGTTATTGCCTTCTCTATTTTACAGAACAATCGGGGCACAAAAATGTAAACTAACTCATCATTTTTTTAATATTTATTTACTTATTTGAAAGGCAGTCATGGGGCGGGAGGGAAGGAGATACCTTCCATCCGCTGGTTTAACTGCCCAAATGGCTACAATGGCCAAAGACTGCTTTCAGAGGCACATTAGCAGAGAACTGGATCAGAAGTGGAGCAGCTGGGACTCGAACCAGCAACCATATGGGATGCCGGCACTGCATGCAGCAGCTTTGCCTGTTACACCACAGCACCGCCCCCCACCTTTTGGTTGTTTTAAAAAGATTTATTAATTTATTTGAAAGGCAGAGTTATAAAGAAGCAAAGGCAGAGAGAGACTAATTCATCTTAAAACTTACAAAGATGCTCACCCTTGCAGGCAACAGATGATAGCTTGTACTTGGTCCCTGCCACCCATATGGAAGACCTGGATTGAGGTCCAGGCTTTTGGCTTCAGCTTGGCCCAGCCCTGGCTGTTGCATGCATTTGAGGGAGTGAACAAGCAACTAAATAAAAGATCAATCTCTCTCTGTCTCTATCCTTTCAAATAAAATGAAAATAAGTAAACAAAAAAAATTTTTTTAAACTCAAGCTAGAGAGGACAATGGAACACAAATCTGAAATGAGATGGTCAGCTCCAGAATCTGTATTTTTTAAAAATATTTATTTATTTAGCTGGCGCTGCGGCTCACTAGGCTAATCCTCCGCCTTGCGGTGCCGGCACACCGGGTTCTAGTCCTGGTCGGGGTGCCGGATTCTGTCCTGGTTGCCCCGCTTCCAGGCCAGCTCCCTGCTGTGGCCCGGGTGTGCAGTGGAGGATGGCCCAAGTGCTTGGGCCCTGCACCCCATGGGAGACCAGGAGAAGCACCTGGCTCCTGCCTTTGGATCAGCGCGGTGCGCCGGCCGCAGTGTGCAGGTTGCGGCGGCCATTGGCAACAGCAAAAGGAAGACCTTTTTATCTGGAGGCTGGGTCACTGATTATACTAAAAGCAGTAGGCTTAAGAAGTGAGAATGAGAATTAGTCAGCTGGGCTGATGGTACTCTTGTTGCTGTCCCCTGTGATACTAATAACTTGTTCATCAAACATTCAGTAAGCTTTCAATGAAGTGTTGAGTATTTTGCATAGTACTTGGATGTCAGAGATGAAAAGGAAACAGTGCCTGCTCTTCAGGAGCTCCCAGTCTGGTGAAGGAAACCATGAGATATATACTGCAATGGTTATCACTGCTGGGCTAGAACAGATGCAGAGTGCTGTGGGGCCACAGGAGGGATGATGAGCCTTCACTGGGAGAAGTCAGGGACCAGTTTGTAGAGGTAACTTATGAGCTGTGTCTGAAAAGATGTAATTATTATGTGGACAGACAGTATAATGTTAGGATTAAAAGTATAGATTCTGAAGGCTGGCATTTTGGTGTAGTGGGAAATGCTTACCACCTATGATGCCAGCATCCCATATCAGCACCAGTTTTAAGTCCTGGCTACTTCACTTCTGATCCAGCTCCCTGCTAATGCGCCTGGGAAAATATTGGGAGATGGATCAAGTGCTTGGGCCCTTGCATCCAGATGAAGCTCCTGGCTCCTGGTTTGGGCCTAGCCCAACCCTGGCAGTTGTGGCCATTTGGGAAGTGAACCAGTGGATGGAAGATCTCTCTGTGTTGCTCTGCCTTTTAAATAAAATTTTTTTTTTTTTTTTGACAGGCAGAGTGGACAGTGAGAGAGAGACAGAGAGAGTTATAGACAGTGAGAGACAGACAGAGAGAAAGGTCTTCCTTTCATTGGTTCACTCCCCTAATGGCCGCCACGGCCGGTGCTGCGCTGACCCGAAGCCAGGAGCCGGGTGCTTCCTCCCAGTCTCCCATGTGGGTGCAGGGACCCAAGCACTTGGGCCATCCTCCTCTGCCCTCCCGGGCCTCAGCAGAGAGCTGGACTGGAAGAGGAGTAACTGGGACTAGTACCCAGCACCCCAACCAGGACTAGAACCTGGGGTGCCGGTGCCACAGGCGGAGGATTAGCCAAATGAGCCATGGCGCCGGCCTGCTCTTCTTCCTATCTGGCTCCCTGCTATAGCTTGGGAAAGCAGTGGAAGATGGCCCAAGTACTTGGGCCCCTGCATCCACATGTGAGACCCAGAAGAAGCTCCAGGCTCCTGGCTTCAGATCAGCTCAGCTCCAGACATTGTGGCCATTTGGGGAGTGAGCCAATGGATAGAAAGATCTTTCTTTATCTTTCTCTCTCTCTCTCTCTGTAGCTCCACCTCTCAAATAAATAAAAAATAAACTTTTAAAAAAAAAGATATTTATTTATTTATTTATTTATTTATTTTTAAAGGCAGATTGACAAGGAGAAAGCTAAAGAAAGAGAAAGATCTTTCATTCCCTAGGTCACTCTCCAAATGCCTGCAATAGCCAGGTCTGGGCTAGACCAAATCCAGGACTCAGGAACACCATCCTGGTCTCCCACGTGGGTGGCAGGAATGCAAGTGTTTAGGCCATATGTGCTGCGTCCCATGTACGTTAATGAGGAACTGGGTCAGAAGCAGAGTGGTCAGGACTCCAACCAAGTACTCCAATATGGGATGCAAGCAGTTTAACCCACTGTGCTATAACACCTATCTCTACTCCTGATATCTTATCCTAGTGCCACAGCTGCCTTTCCTCCCTTTCCAGATAGATATCTGGTAGTGGCACTGTGCCTAAGTCAATGAATAATGGCAGTGATGATAAATTTAATAATTAACACTTGTTTCGTGTTTATTACGAGCCACCTATGGTCCTAAGCATTTCATATATAAGGGAGTTTTAGTTCATAGATATGTATATTATGAAAAACTATGCATGGATCTAAAAACTTTTTGCTTTAAAAAAAAAAATCACCTTTTTTTTTTTTTTTTGGACAGGCAGAGTGGACAGTGAGAGAGAGACAGAGAAAAGGTCTTTCTTTGCCGTTGGTTAACCCTCCAATGGCCGCTGCGGCCGGTGCACCGCGCCGATCTGAAGCCAGGAGCCAGGTGCTCCATGGTCTCCCACACGGGTGCAGGGCTCAAGGACTTGGGCCATCCTCCACTGCACTCCCGGGCCACAGCAGAGAGCTGGCCTGGAAGAGGGGCAACCGGGACAGAATCCGGCGCCTCAACCAGGACTAGAACCCGGTGTGCCGGCGCCGCAGGCAGAGGATTAGCCTAGTGAGCCATGGAGCCGGCTAAAAAATTTCACCTTTTAACTCCATTTTTCCACAAATTTTTTGAAGTTCCCTCACGTAGGAAGTTATCACCCTAAGTTCCATGTCAGACAGACGCTAGGACATCAAAGGGCCTTTACCTGTCTGGTCAGCATGAAGCCAGAGGATGCAAGGGTTAGGAAACTTCAGTGGGCCTCCAAGGGGACCACCACCTTCTTCTGCATGTTGACGATGAAGAAATTCACTGTGAGATATTCCGGTTTCTTCAAACACTTGCAAGCTCCTAAGGTGTTCAAAAAGGGACAGGGTGAGGGGCAAGGGTGACACATTCATATAGGCCATTAGGAATATTCATATACAAGTGAAACAAGGGGAAAGGCTGTTCATTACAGAAATCTCATTGTTGGGGCTGGCATTGTGGCATAGCGGGTTAAGCAGTGGCCTGCAGTGCCAGCGTCCCACTTGGGCAACGATTCAAGTCCTGGCTGCTCTGCTTCCAATCCAGCTCCCTGCTGATGCACCTGGGAAAAGGAGCAGAAGATGCCCCAGTGCCTGGGCCCTGCACCCATGTGAAGACCGAAAAGCTCCTGGCTTCAGCCTGGACCAACCCCAGCACTTGTACCCATTTGGGGAGTGAACAACGGATGGAAAATATCTCTCTTTGAAACTCTCCCTTTCAAATAAATAATCTTAAAAAAAAAGAAAAGAAATCTCATTGTCATTTTCACTGCCTAAGTCCCCAAAACATGAGTGTCCAGGGTTATTGCAGTCCTATCATAACTCAAGAAAACTTTAGATAGAATAAGAAATAATATTATTCTTTTAAACACACAAATTTTTCTGAAATCAGTTAAATACGTTGAGAAACAACAGACTTCAACAGAATGGGACTCATTTCCAGGTAAGCAATAAAGAGCTTGTAGGGACACTTTGTTAAGAGCCAACAGGTCTGGTCTCGCTGGAGTGCCTTTCCCACAGTAGGAAAGTATGTTGTATATCCAGCTCATCAACTTTCTTTTAAAATATATCTAAAATTAATGAAGAATGCTCCTGACTAATCCACTACTCTACTGGCACAAAGATCACCGAGGAAAGAACTCACACACTTACTCTTAAGCTACAATCCACTTCCATTGCTTTCTATTATATTAAGCAGTCCCAGGTAATTTGATACCCAAATCTATACTGCACCACTCTGGGTGATTGCAACTTATCAACTTGAAAGTGATCTTTCCCTTCCTGACCCAATTCTACTTCCTGAAACCGTAACACAAGAGTAGAGACCCCTTGTTTTTCAGTATCACCAGTCACTCAAAGAGGATCTATGAGAGGGCAAATAATGCAGTAATGGATATCTCACTCATCTGGAGGTTCGAATACAACTTCAAATCAAAAGGAAGATAGAAAAAGTCCTTAATGCTATATAATGCTTGGAACCTACTGCCTCTTACTAAGACCAACTCAAGTATTGTGCTCTTTTAGATGCATCAAAATGAGGAGGTAACAAGAAAGACTAGTAAAAGGAGAGAACAGGGGCCGGTGCTATGGTGCAGTGGGTTAATGCCCTGGCATGAAGCACCGGCATCCCATGTGGGCACTGGTTCTAGTCCCAGCTGCTCTTCTTCCAATCCAGCTCTCTGCTATGGTCTAGGATAGCAGTAGAAGATGGCCCAAGTCCTTGAGCCCCTGCACCCACGTGGGAGACTCGGAAGAAGGTCCTGGACTTTGGATCGGCACAGCTCCGGCCGTTGCAGCCATCTGGGAAATGAACCAGTGGATGGAAGACCTCTCTCTCTCTGTGTGTCTCTACCTCTCTCTGTAACCCTGTCATTCAAATAAATAAAAATAAAAAAATGAGAGAATATTTTAAAATTTTTTAAAAAAGGAGAGAATAACAAAGATCGAGCTCTAGAATCCTGTCATAAAAATATAAAACTGAATTTTTCAAAGGTTTCTATTAAATTGTTTAAGATAAAATGTTGGGACATTAAAAAGTATAAGCTTGGGGCCGGCACTGTGGTGCAGCAGGTTAATGCCCTGGCCTGGGGCGCCAGCATCCCATATGGACGCCAGTTCGAGACTTGGCTGCTCTACTTCCTATGCAGCTCTTAGCTGTAGCCTGGGAAAGCAGAAGAAGATGGCCCAAGCCCTTGAGCCCCTGCACCCATGTGGGAGACCCAGAAGAAGCTCCTGGCTCCTGGCTTCAGATCGGCATAGCTCCAGCCATTGCAGCCAGTTGGGGAGTGAACCATCAGATGGAAGACCCCCCCCCCCTTCCTCTCCTCTCTGTGTAACTCTTTCAAATAAATAAATAAATCTTTAAAAAAAAAAAAATAAAAGTATAAGCTTTATACATCTAGAACATGTATTCTCTCCCCAGGGTTAGACTGCCTCTAAGAGGCCAAAAAAGCTGAGCCATTACAATATTACGAGGCTCTCCAAGGACAACCTGGCCTGAGATCTTAGTCTTTAGTATTAAATTTTATTGGGGAATAAAGAAAAAAGGATCTAGGAAATTCATTTGGATGGAATACTTCATAACCTCTATCAATATGAGATGTGACCATTAATAATCTGTACAATCATCCATAGAACAGGTCCTTTGTCAGGCATTCTACTATGACAGATGTTGTATCACTCCCAACACTGCAGAAAACTAAAGCTAACATGAGGCTGCAATGTCAAAACAATCTAAGCAAACATGACCTTATGAGTTCATTCATCACCTTTCATCCTTACAAGAAAATCTCCATGTGCAAAGGGGAGCTGATCTATGAGACAGTTTATAAAATCCACCTCCCACTGGGAAAGTTGCTGGGGCAGAACTCAGCATTGCACAACCAATTATGAAACCCAAATCACAATGTAAACGGACTGCATGCCAGAAGAAATTTATATGAAAACTGTTATACAAGCAAAGATCAAATACAAAATGAAGCAAGATTACATAGGCCCTAGGGAAAAACGATATTGTACTATGCATTTAAAACGTAACAACAAAGTAGGATGCAACTATTTATGAGGGAGTTGGAGGCAGTAACTCAGGGCCTCCCAACCTGCTGAGCCAGAACGACGGATCTATCTCCCCTAATGGCTATTACCAAAACTCTCCTTAACCAGGCAAACTCAAGAGCTGGCAGTCCCCCAACTCTACAGGAATGCAGGGTTGGTGAACCAGGGCTTTCTTACCTGGCCACTTTGCGCTTGTCATGTGGGTGCAGCTTGGCAGCCATTTCTGGGTCAACCTGGCTTAGGCGCCTGTGGAGTTCATGGCCATCCTCCTTTTCAAGCTCTACTTTCCGGTCAGTTGTGTTCTCACTGCCCATCTCCTGGGGCTATTACATGAAGGTTTAGAGTAAACTTAATTCAACAAGGAGACAGTGAACATGCATCTGGCACTTTGCTAATGCTTAGGAATACAGAATAGAGGTGAATCAGTCGATCTTGCCATACAGCAAGAGATACGTAAACGAAAAATTCCAATATGCTGTGGTAAGTGTTCTGACGCCACAGCAAACAAAGGGGAAGGAGGATTTACTGCACAGGGAAGTATTCAGCTACGCTACTTCCTTCTCAGATGTACAAACAGGTAGTGGTGTTACCACACCTATTTTAACATTTCCAGGAGTCCAGTCTTTTCAGCCAGGTGACCAAAGACCAGAACAGAATTGCCAGTACATTACCAACTGCAAAGGCTCACTCTTTGCAGGCACAAAGGGTCAGTGTGGACACTTCCCTGACATATATATTGTGCTGCCAGCCAAGAAACGCTGAATCAGACTGATGCACTGTTAACTTAGAGAAAGATGCTAATTAAGCCACACAGGAGCACTTTCCCACACACAGCCCCTGCCCTGAGGCCAGCCTGAGGGAGCACACTTCACATACGGAGGTGGCATTTGCTTCAGAATATTAAGTAGGAAAATTACAGTTGTTGAGTATAAGAAATAGGCAAGAACCAACCCTCCTCCCACTGAAATTAGCTAGCAAGAAAGAGGAACCATTCCTAAGTGAATTACAAACAAACTAAACATACCTTGGTACTAACGAGAACTTTCCAGAGCAGAGACTCAATATAATAATTGGTTCCTCCCACGACAATAGGAATTTTGTCTCGGGAAAATATATCTTCAATGTGAACATTAAGAAAGACATCACAATACTCAATATCAAGAAGAGAATCCTGACTATCTTGGGAAGCAGAGTATTAGCAAGAAATCACATTCTTTTGTCTAAAGAGCAGAAGAGAAAGGGTAGAAACCAACGTAATCTAATATCAGACTTTAATATTCCTCCTTAGTTCTCAGAATCATTTCTAATTAGTTCTGGAGATATTTACAGAAACTAGACACAAATGCATAATGGTAATTCTTCCCAGTTCTATAACTTTCTAGGCCTTGCTTTAGAAGTTCTTTGTTGTTGTTTTTAGTGATTTATTTTATTTATTTGAAAAACAGAGTTACAGAGGGAGGTAGAACTAGAGAGAGAGAAAGGTCTTCTATCGCTGGTTCACTCCTCAGATGGCCGCAATGGCCAGGGCTGAGCTGATCGGAACCTAGGAGCCAGGAGCTTCCTCTGGGTCTCCCACGTGGGTGCAGGGGCCCAAGGACTTGGGCCATCTTCTGCTGCTTTCCCAGGCCATAGCAGAGAGCTGGATCAGAAGTGGAGCAGCCGGGACTCGAACCCGCACCCATATGGGATGCCAGCGCTGCAGGCCATGGCTTTAACCCGCTGCACCACAGCATGGGCCCCACTTTAGGAGTTTTATGGGTGTTCCAAATCAGTCCAAGGACTCTCGTTGAACCAAGTGTCAGTTGCTCAAGAAGCCACCAGAAAGATGACATTCATGGCTTGGCTCTGCCTTCTAAGGCAAAACACAAGCTGTTTTCTCCAAGTGATGATTCTTGGACAGAGCCAGTCACCACATCACGAGATAATACTGCACCTGAAACCTCATCAGATAGATTAATAAACACAGGTTTTAAAGACAAATAGAGGGACCGGTGCCATGGCGCAGTAGGTTAGGCCTCCGCCTGCAGTGCTGGCATCACATGTGGGTGCCAGTTCGAGTCCTGGCTGCTCCTCTTCCAGTTCAGCTCTGCTGTGGTCTGGGAAAGCAGTGGAGGATGGCCCAGGTCCTTAGGCCCCTGCACCCACATGGGAGACAAGGAAGAGGCTCCTGGCTCCTGGCTTCGGATCAGTGCAGCTCCAGCTATTGCACCCATCTGGGGAGTGAACCAGCAGATGGAAGACCTTTCTCTCTGTCTCTCCCTCTCACTGTAACTCTACCTCTCAAATAAATAAATAAATAAATTCTTTAAAAAGAAGAAAAAAAAGACAAATAGACTTCAGGCCTTGGCTCAGTGGTAAAGCTGCAGCTTGCAGTGCCGGCATCCTATATGAGTGCCGGTTTAAGTCCTGGCTGCCCTACTTCCGATCCAGCTCTCTGCTATGGCCTGGGAAAGCAGTGGAAGATGGCACAAGTTCTTGGGCCCCTGCATCCACTTGGGAGACCCGGAGGAGGCTCCTGGCTCCTGGCTTCGGATTGGCGCAGCTCTGGCCGTTGTGGCCAACTGGGGAGTGAACCAGTAGATGGAAGACCTCTCTTTCTCTGCCTCTCCTTCTCTCTGTGTAATTCTGACTTTCAAATAAATAAATCTTTAAAAAATTAGACTTCAACTTCCTGGTCTAGCTCTTAATCAAGTTACTCAACCTTTCTGAGCTTCAGTTTTCTGCCCTGTAAAATCCCCATGAGTTCTTAGGAGCATTAAATATGACAATGCACAAAAAGCACCTGTCACAATGTCTGAAAAATGATATTCAATTCACTTTAGACACTATTGTTTTGATGTCCCTGCTACTTTGAATTCTACTCTTTAGAACCTCTGTTAATTAGATGATTATCTGATTTAACAAGGGCTTTGCTACAGATAATTTTCTTTAAAAAAAATCAAAAAATCATTTAATGGGCCAGGCATTGTGGCACAGCAGGTTAAGCCACTGCTTGTGAAACTGAAATCCCGGCCGGCGCCGCGGCTCACTAGGCTAATCCTCCGCCTAGCGGCGCCGACACACCGGGTTCTAGTCCCGGTTGGGGTGCCGGATTCTGTCCCGGTTGCCCCTCTTCCAGGCTAGCTCTCTGCTGTGGCCAGGGAGGGCAGTGGAGGATGGCCCAGGTGCTTGGGCCCTGCACCCCATGGGAGACCAGGAGAAGCACCTGGCTCCTGGCTCCTGCCATCGGATCAGCGCGGGGCGCCGGCCGCGGCGGACATTGGAGGGTGAACCAACGGCAAAGGAAGACCTTTCTCTCTCTCTCTCTCACTGTCCACTCTGCCTGTCAAAAAAAAAAAAAAAAAAAAAGAAAAGAAACTGAAATCCCAAATCAGCATGCCAGTTGGAGTTCCAGCTGTCTGCTTCCAATACAACTTCCTGCTAATACACCTGGGAAAGCAGCAAAAGATTGCTTAAGTACTTGGGCCCCTGACACCCATGAGTTTCTGGCTCCTGCATTGCCCAGCCCTGCTGTTACAGCTACGGGAGGAGTAAATCAAAAGACAGAACATCTCTGTCACCCTGACTTTCAAATAAATCTTAAAAAAAAAGTCATTCATACACTTCTCTTTGCCAGTCAATCTGTAGACATTGAGACAGATGATCTCTTTTCTATCTCAAAGAGGGAAGCCCTAATCCTTAAGGGATTGGGTAGGGTAGAAAGAAAGATGTTTCCAATCAAGGAGCATAAACAAAAAGCACTTTTTAAAAAGTGTCTGATTGTTTTTGTTTTTTATTTACTTGAAAGGCAGAGAGAGCAAGAGTGTGAGCTTCCATCTGCTGGTTTGCTACCCAGACACCTGCAATAGTCCCTAGATGTTGCCAAAGCTGGGAGCCAAGAACTTAATACAGGTTTCCCATGTGGGTGGCAGGAACCCAACCAATGGAGTGAGTCTTCATCATTGCCTCGCAGGGTCCTCATTAACAGGGAGCTGGACCAGAGCTGGAGTCAGGAGTCAAACGCAGGTGTTCTGATGCAGGACACAGGCATCTTAACTGCTACACTAAATACCCACTCCTGTCTATTTGTTTTAAAAAGAAAAAGTCTCTACACCCCCCCTTAAATTAAGTATAGGAAACATATAATTACACAGTAAAATAAAACTTTGATTACATAATATGATTAACAAAGGGAAAAGAAACAAGGTAGAAAAGAGGAAGCTGGAAATGGTGAGATACCAGAAGAGAAAAAGAGCAGAAAAGAGGGAAAGGCACTGTGGAACAGCAGGTTAAGCTGCTGTCTGCAGCACCAGCATCCCATATAGGCGACAGTTTGAGTTCTGGATGCTCCACTTCCAATTCAGCTCCCTACTAATCACCTGGGAAAGCAGCAGAAGATGGCCCAAATAACTGGGGCCCCACACCCACATGGAAGACCCAAATGAAGCTCCTGGCTCCTGGCTTCGGCCTGGCTCAGCCCAAGTCAATATAAACATTTAGGGAGTGAACCAATGGATGAAAGATCGATCAATCAATCAATCAATCACTCTCTCTCTCTCTCTCTCTAACTCTGCCTTTCAAATAAACATAAATACACCTTTAAAAAAAAATCTCCCAGCCTCTTAAGTGATCTGATTAAGTCATCTCCTGTTGTTTTCCTTTGAAGTTTTCAGCACACCTTTTTGTATCAATTCTGAACAACCCACTGTCTCAGACCAACAACTGACATTCGTTGATATACTGTTACTTGCAAAGGGTTTTTTTTTTTTATAAACATTATCTCATTTGATACAACAGCCTTATAAAGCAGGTAGAGAAGGCAAAAAAATATTTAATTATTTTGATTTGCATGTCTCTGATTAACAGAAAGGTTACCTTTTACATGTCTATCATCATTTGTATCTCTTCCTCTGTGAATTATTGCTCATGCCATTTTTTTTAAGATTTGTTTATTTAGGCCGGCGCCGCGGCTCACTAGGCTAATCCTCCGCCTGCATCGCCAGCACACCGGGTTCTAGTCCCTGTCAGGGCGCCGGATTCTGTCCCGGTTGCTCCTCTTCCAGTCCAGCTCTCTGCTATGGCCTGGGAGTGCAGTGGAGGATGGCCCAGGTCCTTGGGCCCTGCACCCGCATGGGAGACCAGGAGAAGCACCTGGCTCCTGGCTTCGGATCAGTGCGGTACGCCGGCCGCAGCAGCCATTGGGGGTGAACCAATGGTAAAGGAAGACCTTTCTCTCTGTCTCTCTCTCTCTCACTGTCCACTCTGCCTGTCCAAAAAAAAAAAAAAAAAAAAAAAAAAAGATTTGTTTATTTAATTGAAAGGCAGAATTACAAAGAAACAGGGGGGGAGAGAGAGACAGAGACAGAGAGAGAGAGAGAGAGAGAGATCTTCCATCTACTAAGTTTACTCCCCAAATGGCTGCAATGACTGAAGCTGGGCCAATCCGAAGCCAGGAGCTAGGAGCTTCTTCCAGGTCTCCCATGTGGGTGCAGGGGCCCAAGGACTTGGGTCAGCCTCCACTGCTTTCCCAGGCACATTATCAGGGAGCTGGATTGGAAGTGGAGCAACTGGGACTCAAACCAGCACCCATATGGGATATGCGGGCACTGCACACAGCAGCTTTACTCACTACACCACAGCGCTGGATTGGAAGTGGAGCAGCTGGGACTTGAACAGGCACCCATATGGGATGCCACCACCACAGTGCCGACCTCTGTACATATCCTTCATAAGTTTAGGTACATCCATGTTTCTGCTATTAAATACAATGCTGTTATGAATGAGATCTACCAAAGATCTCCTAATAGACTTGTGGCAAGAGTTCCTCTCAGGTGTACACCTAAAGTTCTGGTGGATATCTAGACTTGCCAATACAAGTCTTAATTCTTAAATATTTAAATCCAGCTATTTTCCTTTTTTAAAAAAAGGTACTATGAAGGCTGGCACTGTGGTATACCAGGTTAAGCTGCCACACAGAGCAGTTCTAATCCTGGCTGCTCCATTTCCAATCTAGCTCTCTGCTAATGCACCTGGGAAAGCAGATGATGGTCCAAGTGTTTAGGTCCTTGCCACCCATGTGGGAAACCTAGATAGAGTTCCTGGCTCCTGGTTTCCACCTGACCCAGCCCTGGCTGGTGTGGCTATTTGGCGAGTGAACCAGCAGATGAAATATTTCTCTCTCTTTCAAATGAATAAATAAGCTTAAAATGGCATTACTATAGCCTTACTATGGCATGGGCATAGTAGCACTGTGGGTTAAGTCATTACTTGGACACTAGCATCAAATATCGAGAGCCCAGGATCGAGTCCTACTTCTGCTTTTTTTTTTTTTTAAAGAAAGATTTTATTTATTTATTTATTTGAGAGAGAGAGTTACAGACAGAGGGGTGGGGAGAGACACAGACAGAGAGAGAGATCTTCTGTCCGCTGGTTCATTCTCCAAACGTCCACAACGGCTAGAGCTGGGCCAATCCGAAGCCAGAAGCCAAGAGCTCCTCTGGGTCTCCTACATGGATGCAGGGACCCAAGCAGTTAGGCCATCTTCTACTGCTTTCCCAGGTCATAGTAGAGAGCTGGATCAGAAGAGGAGCAGCCAGGATATGAACCGGTGCCCATATGGGAAGCAGGAAGAGGCTTAGCCCACTAAGCCACAGTGCTAGCCCCCCTACCCTCACTTTTGATCCAGCTTCCTGCTATTGCACCTGGGAATGCTGCAGATGATGGCGTAAGTACTCCCACATGGAGACCAGGATAAAGGTCTTGGCTCCTGACTTCAGCCTGGCTCAGATCTAGCTGAAATAACTGAGGAGTGAACCAGCAGGTAGATCTGTCTTTCTCTCTCTCTCTGTTGCTCTGCCTTTCAAAGAAAGAAATCCAGGGCTGACACTGTGGCTTAGTGAGTAAAGCCGCCACCTGCAGCACCAGCATCCTATATGGACACCTTTAGATTCCTGGCTGCTCTATTTCCAATCCAGCTCCCTGCTAATGCAGCTGGGAATGCAACAGAAGATGGCCCAAGTCCTTGGGTCCCTGCACTCACGTGGGAGACCTGGAGGAGGCTCCTGACTTTGGATTGGTATACCTCTAGCCACTGTGGCCATTTGTCTCTCCCTCTCTAAGTCTGCCTTTCAAATAAATAAATAAATCTTTAAACACACACACACACACACACATAACTACCTACTCAATTATATATTCTCTTACTTGTTTTGAAGTTTCATTATAAATATATACATTTAATTTCAAATCTATCAGGAATTTATTATGTTGTACTTAATGCATCATATATAATGAAGACCTGATTTTAATTTTTTCCAAAACAATTAACTGCCCCAGGAAGAATCATGAACTATTTCATTATTTCTCCATTGTTTTGAATTGCCACCTTGATTATAAGATAAATATAATACAGATATTTTAATCTATATCTGGGTTTTCTATTCTGTACAATAAATTTATCAAATATTAAACAGGCTACTACTGTAACTACTATGACTTTTTAATATATTTCCATATCTGGCAGCCCATACATAAAAGGCAGTCTGGGTATTAAACATAAGGGTAGTACTTTTTATTTTTTAAGATTTATGTATTTATTTACTTATTTGAAAGCCAGAGTTACACAGAGAAAAGAGAGGCAGAGACAGAGAGAAGTCTTCCATATGCTGGTTCACTCCCTAATTGGCCGCAATGTCCGGAGCTGTGCCGATCCAAAGCCAGGAGCCAGAAGCTAGGAGCCAGGAGCTTCTTCTGGGTCTCCCACACAGGCGCAGTTGCCCAAGGACTTGGGCCATCTTCTACTGCTTTCCCAGGCCATAGCAGAGAGCTGGATGGGAAGTGGAGCAGCCGGGTCTCGAACTAGCGCTCATATGGGATGCCAGCACTTCAAGCCAGGGCATCAACCTGCTGTGCCACAGTGCTGGCCCCAGGGCAGTACTTGTTTTCTTTTAAAGATTTTTATTTTTTATTTATTTGAGAGGTAGAGTTACACACAGTGAGAGGGAGAGACAGAGAGAAAGGTCTTCCTTCCGTTGGTTCACCCCCCCAAATGGCTGCCACGGCCTGTGCGCTGCGCCGATCTGAAGCCAGGAGCCAGCTGCCTCCTCCCGGTCTCCCATGTGGGTGCAGGGCCCAAGGACTTGGGCCATCCTCCACCACCTTTCTGGGCCACAGCAGAGAGCTGGACTGGAAGAGGGGCAACCGGGACTAGAACCCGGCGCCCATATGGGATTCTGGCACCACAGGCGGAGGATTAGCCAAGTGAGCCCCGGCGCCGACCCCAGTACTTCTTATATTATGTTTTTTCAAACATTACTTGGTCTTACCCAGAACTATTTTGTCCTTCTCCCCACAACAATCCCTGTGAAATTCCGAAATGTAACTCTACTGTATTTCCAAATTAATTCTGTATCCCAACTTAAAAGGCAGGAAGCTAAAGCTGAGTGGAGTTGAGTAATAAACGATTTATCCAATAAAAATCACAGGGCTCGGAGCTAGCGCTAGTGGGCAGAGCCGCCACCTGCAGTGCTGGCAACCCATATGGATGCTGGTTCAAGACCCAACTACTCTACTTCCAATCCAGCTCTCTGCTATGGCCTGGGAAAGCAATAGAAGATGGCCCAAGTCCTTGGGCCCCTACACTCACATGGGAGACCCGGAAGAAGCTCCTGGCTTTGGACTGGCACAGCTCCAGCTGTTGCAGCCATTTGGAACGTGAACCAGCAGATGGAGACCTCTCTCTCTGCTCTCTGTCTCTGCCTCTCTCTGAGACTCTTACAAATATTTATTATAAATCTTTATATTCAGTTACACAGATCTAGATTATTGCCGATAGAGAAATTCAGAGAGCGTAGTGAGACGCTGTACGGTAGAAAAGATACATATATATCACTCTAGATGGATCATCAATGCAATGCATAGCA